CAGCTCTTGAAGCCTGTACAGTGGACAGCACATCCGGAAGAATATGGAGCACACGACAACCAGCTCACTGAAGCCTGCAGAGGACTTCTAGTACCAGAGAGCACAAAATAAACTGTACAGTTTTACCGGCCAAGCTTTGACACCGAATGTCTAGGCGAATGGAGACTCTAAGGTTGACTGTGTCAGCCAACAGACCTTAGAGAGATTTCTTCATCCTTGGAGCAACACAATCAACATCATCTTAGAACTAGTGCTAAACCACTCTAGCAGTGCCCTCAGAACACGCTCCACACTGGGACCCCTGGGAAGATATCGGGTGGCTGTTCCCCATTCCAGGGTGTTGATGTGGTTGGGCTGCTAGGAACAGCCCTCTCCCCATTTTCCCCAGATACACAAAAAGAGGAAATTGGAAGCAGTTGTCTCACCCACTTTCCTCCATTCCTCAACCCTTCCCCTCTAGTCAGTGATCCACATGCGCACACATCCTTAACTATGTAAACATCACCAAAAATATAAACATTTATAAATATACTTTAAAAACTGAACAAATGAATAAATAAATAAATCAGGGGTGCAGGGGCAGGGAGGACGGAACGACATCATGACTATCACAGCTGCTTTCTAAAATTTTTTTTTATATTATTTTTACTGGAATTTCAGATACACAGAGGAGGAGTGACAGAGAGGAAGATCTTCCGTCCACTGACTCACTCCCCAAGCAGCTGAAATGGTCGGAGCTGAGCTGATCCGAAGCCAGGAGTAAGGGGCCTCTTCCAGGTCTCCCACACGGGTGCAGGGTCCCAAGGCTTTGGGCTGTCCTTGATTGCTTTCTCAGGCCACGGGAAGTGGAGCGGCTGGGGCACAAACTGGTGTCCATATGTGATCCCAGCACTTGCAAGGCAAGGATTTAGCCACTGGGCCATCGTGCTGGGCCCAAGCATTTTCACAGGAATCACACTCGATCCTTGGAACAACTCTGTGTCTGGCAGGACGGCACGTGTTGGCCTCGCTCTTCAAACACCTACACCGATTCTGGAGACTAGACCTCCCCAAGACTAACGCCCAAAGGTAACTAGTGATGAAGTCCGAAAACAGCCCAAATCACCCGAGGTCGAATCCTGTGCTCCTTCTCACAAGACGTAATCGCCAGGGCAGTTACTAGTTACGTGATCAAAACGGACGGCACCAGTCTTTCCTAAATCAACTTTCCTTTTGGACTATCCCAGATTTGTCATTACTGCTGCCATTTTTCTGGCCTCCCCAGTTAGAAATTGCAAGCTCACAGGTGACCAATTTTCTCCCTTTGTTAAGCTGTAATACAACATTAGGTAAAGGTTGTAGATTTTTCTCTTTTGAAATCTTCCTGGTTTGCTCTTTGAACTGCATATTCACATAAAGATCCAGACTTGACTCTTCTCATTTACTCCAAATGATGATGACTCATTTTTTAAATGATTTCTTGCTTCTAACTTCTTCCTGCACAGCAGTTAGATGATAATCCTTAACAACAAGCCCTAGTATGGGGCCATCAAGGGGTATCCTAGCGGCTAAAACCCTAGCCTTGCACGATCATGATCCCATTTCCTTATGGGCGCTGCTTTCTAATCCCGGCAGCCCCACTTTCCATCCAGCTCCCTGCTTGTGGGAAAGCAGTCGAGGACGGCCCAAAGCCTTGGGACCCTGCACCTGCATGGGAGACCTGAAAAAGATTCCTGGATCCTGGCTTTGGATTGGCTCAACTCCAAACATTGCAGACACTTGGGGAGTGAACTAGCAGATGGAAGATCTTCCTCTCTGTCTCTCCTCTCTGTATATCCGCCTTTCCAATAAAAATAAAAAATGTTTAAAAAAACTTTAAAATAAAAAAATAAATAATCTTTAAAAAAAAAAAACCTCTAGAATCTTTACAGGCCAGCAGTGTGGTAGAGAGGGTTAAGCTGCCAACTGATGCTGGCACGCTCTACATGAGCACCAGCCCTAGTGCAGCCGCTCCGTTTTCCACTGAGCTGCCTGCTAACACACCTGGAAAAGCAGCAGACAGCCCAGGGGTTTGGGGCCCTCCGTCTCCCACGGGAGGGATGGAATTACTGGGTCCTGGCTTCAGTCTGACCCGCGTGAGGCACTTTGTGGGTATTTGTGGAGTGAGCCAGCACACAGCTGTTTGTCTCTCTCTCTCTCTGTAACTGTTTTTCAAATCAATACATCTTTTAAAGTGGCGGCTTATAGTTAGATGGTCAACAAAGGGTGCAGGAGCAACTCTCTGTGGGGGAAAAAAAACAAAAACAAACAAAAAAACCTTTACCCTTACTCTACATCACATCCAAAAGACAGCTAAACGCTCACAAACGCCACATCCATAAGGCTTTCAGACTACAACACAGGGGAAGTGTACAATCGTGCGAAGCAAATAGTTATTAAACAGGGAGTAAAAATCGTGAACTACAAAGAAAAGATACTGATAAAGTGGACTTCTAAATAGCTAAAAAAAAAAAAGAAAAGAAAAAACTAAGTCATAGGCAAGGAGTGTGTATTTGCTGAATGTTTATCTAACAAAGGGCTTATCTCAAAAACACCTTTTATGCTTGTACCTCAGAAAATGGGTTTCTGATCCAACTAAGGGTTTTTGAGCAAAATAGAGGCAGCTGAATTCACAGCATGAGTATCTGTTACCCCACAGATTACTTACTAACTATAAACAGAAACATGCACAATGGAGCTATCTCACTATCACTGTTTTAAATGAGTGATCAAACACGGCATTAAGTGTCAGTGACAACCTGGCATTACAAGCCTCATTCAGAAGTTATATATTTACACACCATTAGCCCCCAAGCACTCTTTCCTATGCTTAAAATGACTGGACGGTAAATAATCAGATAAATGCGAAATGTGAAGTCACCCCCGAGCTGGCCTGGGCCCTTTCAAAAAAAAATGGCTAATGTTACCAAAAACCAAAAGGTGGAAAAACTACTCTAAATTAAGAGACAGATTTAGCGACCCAAATGGACCACATGGGCTTCAACTGAATCTGCACTTAAACTCATTCACACAGGTTTAAAAAAAAAAAAAAAAAAGATACCTTGGAGACAACTGGAGAATCCGGTGCAGGGGTCAAGACACCACGTGGGATAGACACCTGTGTCCCACGAGTCCAGCCCTGTTCCCAATCCCAGCTCCTTGTCAACGCACAGCCTAGGAGGCAGCACACGATGGCTCAAGGACTTGGTGCCCCCACCCCAGCTGGGAGACTGAGCTCCAGGCTGCCAGCTTTGGCCTGGCCTGACCTCTGCTGTTGTGAACATTTCAGCAATGAGCCAGCTGATGGAATAAGTCAGTTCTCTGCTTTTTGAATAAGTAAAAATAAATTAAAATATTTGCTAAAGGGGTCAGCACAGTGCAGGCTAATCCTCAAGGTTGCAGCACCAGCATCCCACATGGGCTCCAGTTCACAGTACTCCACTTCCCGATCTAGCTTCTGCTGATGGCCTGAGAAAGTAGCAGAGGATGGCCCATGCCTTGGTTCCTACACCCATGTGAGAGACCAAGAAGAGGCTCCTGGCTCCCAGCTCCAAACCAACTCAGTTCTGGGTGTCGTGGCCATTTAGGGAGTGAACCAATCGATGAAAGATCTCTCCTTCTCCTTTTCCTTCTCTCTGCAACTCTACCTTTCAAATAAGACTTTTTTTTAATGTACACACATCAAGCAAAGAGCTGAATATTCTTTTATATTCTCTAGAGGTTTGAAAATATTTCAGTCAAAAGTTGAGAAAAGGGCCTGGCATAGTAGCCCAGTAGCTAAAGTCCTTGCCTTGAATATGCCAAGATCCCATACGGATGCCAGTTCATATCCTGGCTGCTCTACTTCCCTTTCAGCTTTCTGTCTATGGCCTGGGAAAGCCTGGGACGGCCCAAACCCTTAAGACCCTGCACCCGTGTAGGAGACCCTCCTTAGCGTAGGAAGAAGCTCCTGGCTTCAGATTAGCTCTGCTCTGGCCATTGTAGTTACTTGGGGAGTGAACCAGTAGATGGAAGATCTTTGCCTCTCCCTCTCCCTATAAATATGACCTTCCAATATAAATAAATACATCTTTGAAAATTTTTCATTCAAATTGATTTTAGAAAAAGTTGAGGAAAAAATAGTTTTGGCTATAGTCTGGGAAAAGTACTAAAAATAAAAAGCTACAACTGCCTAAGACAAGAGCCTCCATTCAATCATGGCAGCAACTGGGCCAAATGTTACACACTTATTATATTTTCTAAAGAGCCCAAGTTATGAATAAGGCTGTGCTTTTTTTCTATTATGTCTCCAAATAATGCAATAATACAACCAAGAAAGCAGTTTTAATAATTTTTAATAGTTTAAAACTCAAACTAAAATTCCTTACACAGCCATTTCTTATGCACAGGTTGGGACCTTCCTGAGTTCTGGAATTGGGTGCTCTCTAGGCAGCACCCTGATTCAGAAACAAGCTGCCAATTCCAAAGCCTCACTCCAGGGCATGTTAGCTGGTGACTCTAGGCCAATAATTCAGTATTCCTAAACCTCAGCTTTACTGTCCACATTATGCAGGCTTACTGTGAGAATGAAAGCGTTAAACCACAGTCACTGGCACACGGCCAGAGCTCCGTATCTGTGGACCCCGAGGAGCCTGTGTGCAAAGTCGGGCTAGGAAACCTGTGAAAAACACCATCTCTGACCTAAAGATATTTACAGTCTCTGGTAAGACAAGATAAGATTTTGTGAGTAAGACTTGAGGAATACAGTAGTAAACAACGTGAACCAGATGGTGACTAAGCACTGGCTGCCACTACGATCTCTACAGATACTGGAAGACCAAACAGCTTCTGCTCTTTCTAATCTGGATAGTATCTGAAATGGCATGCAAAACGATTTCTGATAAATTCTTGTTCTGAAGAATTCTAGATGAATCAAGAGAAATCAATGAATGAATCCCGTCTCCCTAGTTCTGCTGAAACTGTCCCCAGTGTGAGGCACTTACTCATACCGCCTCGCGTGCGTCATGTGCCCTTAGCCATCTTCTGAGATCAGCAAGTCATTTCTAAGAAGCAGTCATTTAAGCTCTGAGTCTGAGTAACTTTCCTCTGTGTTGCTAAAGACAGCAGGCACATCTCATAGAATCAATCCTTAAACTGCAGAGAAGGAAGTGACTTCACTCCCACACAGGCTATGTTCTTAACACAACCATGGGAAGGCCCCTGGTGAATCTTTTACACTGATGTGTGTAAACTGGAGGCAGTCGTTACACAGAAGCGAGACACTTTCAAGAGCCGTTGGTGCCTTCCAGTAGATGGTAAGAGAAACGTGGCTGCTACCTCCTCGGGTAACTGGCAGGCAACCTTGGACTGACACGGCTCACAGCTGCTGCCACCTGCGCTTGGGGAGACCCTTCCTTGGAAGGGAGAGTGTTAGCCCAACCAAAGACCCAAGCGCATTTTTCTTTAAAAGAAACTTTACTAGTCCATCTGTTTCAAGCTCTTGCTATTGATACTGTAAGTTAGAAGTTCAGAATGCAGAAGTTCTGAAAACACAGTTTTCACAGGCATGGCTAACCGAACCGGCATAAACATTGATCTAGTCCAGCAAATGCAATCAAAAGCAAAGTATGCTTGATATATCCACACCAGAATTTTTACAGCTAAAGAAAAATCGTGAAATATGACATGCCTTTCCACAACACAGAGGAGGAGGGCGGTCAGCCTTTATCCGAGCATAAACAAGGGATCCAGATGTTTCTCTATGTGAACTGTTGCAAGGAACGTTTCTCAAGGTTTTTATGATAAACCCACAGTCTCAGTATGTTTCCATAGTAACAGGAATGGAGTGCATGCAGTCTACAATAATGAGCCAGCTCTGCTGGTTCTTGAAAACCTGGCATTTTTACTGTTTGACAATTTTTGCAGCAAAAACATTGAGATCTCAATTCTCCCTTCTCTCTTTCTCTCTCTCCCACCCTGCCCCCAATGTCTCCCACTCCCTGTAGCTTGACTTTCAAATAAATTCTTAAAAAAAAAATCAAGTTACAGTAATTAGAGGCAAATTTAATATGGGAATTTCTGAGGTATAAAAAAAGTATCAAATATATTCATTTCTAACTGAATGACCCTTTCATGTTTGAAAATTAGATGCTGTACTTGAAATCAGCTTAACCCAAACACACTTAAACCCCCCCAAAACGTCAGGCCATGACTCACACCCAATGACAGAGCGTCAAAGGCCTCTGGGGGACCCATCAAGACAGGTTTTCCTTTGACCGTTTTCTTACCAAGTCAAAAAGGAGGGGAGAAGAGAGATCAACTACTAAAAAAAAAAAAGACCCGTTACTATCAGGACACTGTTTGCTAGGTTCTAAAACCCAAAGCCTGTTCAAGTAAAAGCTTGACAAAATATGGTTAGTCTATTAAGAAAAAAATGTCAGGATTCCTAAATGCTGCGATTTTAAGAGATTCCCTTTTTGGGAGGTTCTCTGCTGACATCATATTTTAATCTAAATATATGATCAGGGAAATCCCTTCACTTTAAGCTATGAATTTTACATGACCCCATTGGTTTTCAAAATTAAAAAAATTAATGTTTAGTAACACAATACAATAACAAATGCAAGTTGTCTAAATAATGAAACTATGAGTATATATTTTATTATTGCACCTTTTTAAAAAAGGGTTAATGACTCTTTTTTGAAAGTAAGCAAGAGGTGAATATTTCAAAAAGGCCTAAATACCTTTAAAATCAGCAAAATTTACCATCATTGAGGTTGAACAGAAAGTAAGCTCATTTCAGCCTCTGGGAAGGATACTAATTACACTAAAACTCAACATGCTTCCTTACCAAACAATCAGACACCCCCCCACACAGTACAATCTGATCACATCTCACACACACATGCACAGTACAATCTGATCACATCAGACACCCCCCAACACACACACAGTACAATCTGATCTCTCTCTCTCTCTCTCTCTCTCTCTCACACACACACACACACACACACACACACACGCTGCATAGGTATAAGGGAAACTTACCCATAAAGAGGGAAAACAACTACCCCCGGTTCTAAGAACTTGACCATGTCTCCAAAGCTCCAGAAAGGAAGTGAACAGCAGTCACCTTTTGTTCACTAAAAGCAGCAAGAATTGATAACATCTAATCTAGTTCTCATACAGACAAAAAAAGCAATACCCAAATTCCCAACAGTTACTGTACAAACTACATGTCAGCCTTCAACAGGATCCTGCCTGAAAATGTTTGTTAAGGAACTGCAAGTCAAACTGCAAACGGGCAGTGCTCCTTCAGCCGCTCTGTAGATTATTTTATCTTTTGGGTGAACAAACACCCTATCAAATCGTAAGATAGTATTTTATCCACAAATAAGACACAGTGTTTTTAAAGGTATACACATTGGCAATCATAGCTATCCAGAAACCTGTTAGCTACGATAGTATAAAAGCAAATGCTTTCTGAGTGAAATAACTTCCTTAACATTTGTTAATTCCCTTGGTAATTTAAATACTCGGGCTTCTCCGGCTCTGGCATCATTAAAGTCTTAACCCTCCAAATACCACGACAGCATCAGCTTCCCTTTGGCTCTTTTGCAATAAGCAAAAACGTGAGGCTGTCAAAAGCCAGAGGTTGGGCAAGGCTGTTGGTCAAACCTTGAATCTTTATTTAAAGAGGTTTGCTAACACCCTAGTGTAGGCTGACTCTCGGAGTACAGCACTGTAATTTGAAAGAAAATATTTGCCTGCACTACTTTTCAGCAATAATGCTCACAGAACATCACTTCCCCAAATGACACAGAGGGCTTGCAGCAATTTAATACATAAACGTTCTACAGTAGAAAACCCTATCTGGTTATCTCAACTTACAGGTACTTCCCGAGCTAGCCATTTAAAAAAGAGCTCCAAACTGCTAATTTGAGTTACACTGGAAAATTTGCTTACTTACAAACAAGTTTTCAGGGGCCTGGCATGGTAGCCTGGCAGCTAAAGTCCTTGCCTTGCATGCGTTAGGATCCCTTATGTGTGTTGGTTCATGTCCCAGCAGTCCCACCTGCTTCCCATCCAGCTCCCTGCCTGTGGCCTGGGAAAGCAGTCGAGATGGCCCAAAGCCTTGGGACCCTGCACCTGTGTAGGAGACCCGGAAGAAGCTACTGGCTTTGGGTGGGTTCAGCTCTGGCTGTTGCTATCACTAGGGGAATGAATCATCAGACAGAAGATCTTCCTGTCTCTCCTTCTCTCTGTATATCTGACTTTCCAGTAAAAACAGATAAATCTTTATATATATATAAAATATATATATATATGCATTCATGTGACTTTATCCACTTTCCACCATGAGGCAAATCATGTCATTTTTCTACTATCATTGACAACGTGCTCCTTAAGAGCAGTCTCACTGCTTCTACGCATAATAAACTCAATCCAGAGCTACGCCAGTCACCCTTTCAGAACAGGATTTGCTTCAGGACATTTACTCATTAACCAACTCAGCAAAAGCATAAGACTGGACACTCTTCAATAAATGCAGTGGAAATAAAATGTGTTTGATGGTGAACAATGAGAACAAAACAGAAATAAATTCTGGTGTTCTTCCCTTTTTTTTTTCCCTACTATTTTTGGTAATACTTTCTTAAAGACACAGTGATACATGGGCCCGGCACCCTGGCCTAGTGGCTGAAGTCCATACCTCGCAAGCACTGGGATCCAATATGGGCACTGGTTCTAATCTCAGAGAATCCACTTCCCATCCAGCTCCCTGCTTGTGGCGTGGGAAAGCAGTTGAGGACAGCTCAAAGCCTTGGGGCCCTGCAGATACTTGGGAGAAAGGGCTCCTGGCTCCTGGCTTCTGGCTTTGGGACAGCACCAGCCATTGAGGTGGCTTGGGGAGTGAATCATCGGACAGAAGATCTTCCTCTCTGTCTCTCCTCCTCTCTGTATATCTGACTTCCTACGAATGTATCCATTTTACCCCATCTCAGAATTTAAGAGCTAAAGGGCCACATAGTGAGGATTCCATTGACATGAAATGTCCAGAACAGGAAAGTCCCTAAAGACAGAAAGACGTCCCATCACTGGTTGCCAGGAACTGGGAGGAGGGAGTGAACCAAGGGATGGTGGCCCACCAATGGATGGAGGGTCTCTTCAATGGTCTAGTGGCTAAATCCTCAGCTTGCAAGAACTGGGATTCCATATGCACATGACAGTTCAAGTTCTAGCTGCTCCACTTCCCATCCAGCTCCCTGCTTATGGGCTGGAAAGGCAATAGAGGACAGCCCAAAGTCTTGCGACCCTGCACTCGCATGGGAAACCCAGAAGCTCTGGCTCCTAGCTTTAGATCGATTCAGCTCTACCCCTTGCACCCATTTGGGGAGTGAACCAGCAGATAGATGGAAGATCTCCCTGTCTCTCCTCTCTGTAAATCCGCCTTTCCAACAAAAATAAAATCTTTAAATTTTTTTTCTGCTACTGGGCAGTGGCAATGATTACACAAACTTGTCAATATGCAAGATTATACAGTTTAACATGGTAAACTGAGGCAACCATCGTGGTACAGCTGGTTAAGCCAGCACTGGGGATGCCAGCGTCGCATGTCAGGATGCCTGGTTGTTCTGCAGTTCTGATCCACCTGCGTTTAACGCACTAAAGGCAGCAGACGATGGCTCGAGGACTTGGGTTCCTTGGTTATTCTACAGTTCTGATCCACCTGCGTTTAACGCACTAAAGGCAGTAGACGATGGCTGGAGGACAGAGCTGCCCAGATAGGAGTTCCTGCTCCTGGCCTAGTCTCGACTGTCGAAGGTCTTTGGGGAATAAAGCAACAGTTGAAAGGTATTTCATTGCTCTCTCCTTTTCCTTTTTCTGTGACTCTGTCTTTCAAACAAACAAATAGATATAAAAGAAGAGGGGTTGGCACCTTGGTATAGCAAGCACAGCTGCCACACGCAGCACTGGCATCCTGTATGAGCACCAGTTCCAGTCCCAGCTGCTCCACCTTCCAATCAGCTCCCTGTTAACGTGCCTGGGAAAGCAGCAAATGAAGGCTCAAGTCCTTGGGCGTCTGCACCCACACAGTATACCTGGAAGAAGCTCCTGGCTCTGGCTTCAGATGGGTCCAGCTTTGGTCATCACGGCTATTAGTGGATAGAAGATTCTGTCTCTCTTCCCTTCTCTCTCTAACTCTGCCTTTCAAATAAATAAGCCTTTAAAAAAGTAAAATGAAAGAATAAATTTTATAGAGTATAAATTACATCTTATTAAAAATGCTCTAAAAAATCATGAATCTCTGTACATTTCTCAACAATAAAATCTACATATCCACTAAGAAAATTACTGATTTTTACACATATTAAAAGCACTTAATTGGGCCCGGCGCGGTGGCGCAGTGGTTAAGGTCCTTGCCTTGCACGCCCAGGATCCCATATGGGCGCCGGTTCTATCCTGGCAGCCCCGCTTCCCTTCCAGCTCCCTGCCTGTGGCCTGGGAAAGCAGTCGAGGACGGCCCAAAGCTTTGGGACCCTGCACCTGCATGGGAGACCCGGAAGAGGCTCCTGGCTTCGGACCAGCATAGTATCCGCCATTGCGCTCACTTGGGGAGTGAATCATCGGACAGAAGATCTTCCTCTCTGTTTCTCCTCTCTGTATATCCGCCTTTCCAATAAAAAAAATAAATAAATCTTTAAAAAATAAAAAGCACTTAATTAAAAAAAAAAAAACCTTTACACTTATTATTAAACTATGTAAAACTACCATAGAAATCAGAAAAGGCAGACAATGAAAGACACTAAGATCCCGGATGGTCCCAAGTCTGTACAGGAATGTGGAGCGTGAGAGGAGCTCTGGAGAAGAGGAAAGGAGGGGAGCCCAGGGAAGCCGACTGAGACAACAGCTCAGCCACACTGGAACAAAGGCTAGATGCTCATCGTGTTACATTCCA